AGTCGCGGCGCGCCTGGGCTGTCCGCTGCCCGCGTGCTCCCTGGCTTTGCTCCCCGTCTCCCTGGTCTGGGGAGACGTGGAGCAAAGCCGTGGAGCACGCGGGCAGCGTCCTCAGAGGCTTTGCTTCCCGTCTCCCTGGTCTGCTGGTCTCCAGCAGACCAGGGAGACGGGCAGAAAACCCCGTTCGTAACTGCGCGCCGTAACTTGGGGACTGCCTGTATGCACGACAGTACTTTCTTTTGCAGCTAATATCAGTAAAATGCTTTGAGATCCTGAGATGAAAGGCATGGTATAAATGCAAAGTATTATTAAAAAAGCCACAACAGTTCTATTTTTTAAATTTACAACAAGAAAGGAATGAGATCAATTACCATGTTTCCAGCAAACTAGCACAAATAAGGAAGCCAAGAAACCCAAAGATGTCACCTACCATCTTTAGCATAAGCCACACAGTACACCGTGTCCTTGTGTCCTTTCAAGGGTTGAATTAAAGTTCCATCAGACGTGTCATACACCTGCATGAATAAAGGTTAGTGTAAGACCCCCTAATCCTTCAATGAGTTCCATGGGAATAATTAAAACTAAACAAGATTTGAGACATAATATTTTTGTATACTTTACTTACTTGATAATATTTTGTATATTGTCAAAGCCACTATTTTTCATGGATCTTTAGTTAGTTTCTCCTGTTTGAGTGAGTCTTCCATATAACATAAGGGGACAATTTTTATTTAAAAAAAAAAAGGAAAATTCTGACAAAATTTGGCAGAGAGATTTTGAAATAGGTGTAATGCCTGAAACTACTTTTAACTTGTTTTTTTAAATTACTATAGTAAATTGATGGCACCCTTTAAAAATACTAGAACACACTTGCCTCTTTTTGTGCATTGAAACACACGTTAGAAGAACAGAGGTTACTAAATCATTTATACAAAAGTAACTTCATTTATACAAAAGTCACTCAACTCATATGATGTTTTCAAACAGCCCAATTGGCTGGACTGTTTGAAAACATCCCATTTCCTCCCTATATAAAAAAATCACCACTTGTTCTTCCTACCAAAACTTTTTAAACCAAAAAAGTTAACAGGAAAGAGCACCTATTAAAGAGATCAGTAAGAAATTTTAAAGAGACCCCAAAATATTGCTATATTATATATCTGATTCCTACATAGCTATATTCTGGGGTCTTTTAATGATATATATTATTATTATTGTTAGATTCAGATGGCATAGCATGCAGAGGAGTAAACAAATCTCCTACCAGCAATCTGTTTCCTGCTGCAATTATCAGCTGAGTTCCATCAGGTTTAAAGGCAAGATCATATATACTGGACAAAGAGATAAAAAGTTAAATTAAGAAGCAGAATGCTAACTATTACAAGAAATATCCAAAAACATACTTCCTATTTTCAACATTACTGAAATGCCATTAATAGAGTAAAAATTTAACAAATGTATTATATCTCAGAACATCCCTAACTTTTGGGAAAATTCCAGAAGCCAGACAGCTTTACAGAGCTTTCCCCACATGCAGTAAAGTGATCCCCAAACCAGATCACCATACTGCTTTGTCCAGGCACCCTTAGATACAGACCCTTATGACCAGACATATATAGTTGCAAGATCAGAGTCATGGATGGATGAAAATTAAAAAAGAAAAAAAAACTAGGAAAACCTTTTGCATTATTCAGATATTATTACAGACAATATTATGAAAAACAACAGTATTCAAACTACAGTATGCATGTTGGTGCTTATCGTCTTCTAAAATTTCTTAGACCAGTGTTTCCCAATTTTATTTGGCCATGGAACCCTTTTAAACTCAAAAGAATTTTGCAGAACCCCTAATAACAGCAACTGGTTTGACAGCTGAACCTTCGACTTTGTCCGATGTGGTGCTAGTTTATTCGTATTCAGTCACCCACGTGATCTACGCTCCCTGAGAGTGAGTACGGGGATTTACGGTGGAATATAACAGGCGATCGCGCCACTGACTGACTGTGCACACAGCGCTGGGTAGTGACATCATCGTCCCCACTGTCTGGCTAAGATGGCATTCATTACAAAGGGATACTTATCGGGGCAAACACAAATGAAAATTGTTTTCAATAAAATTCATAAATGCTTATTTTTTAATCATAAAATGTTATTGTAATGGAATTTTCTCGCTGAACCCCTATTTTCACTTCACAGAACCCCATTTGTTCAAGAACTACTCCTAAATGGTAAATGCTAGGATCATCAAAATTAGTATGCAAATTTATCTTATAGTAACTTAAAGCAAAGTAAGGGTTTGGTTGTGCTGGGACAATGGGATATGCCTGGAAATCTATTGTTTCTCGTAAAACAGAAAGGGAAGATTTGGCATGAAGGACAGTTATACTGCAGAATTATCACAGGGGAAAGAAAGAGGCCAAAGATGGTGTCCAGGACATCTATAACCCCTTTGGGCCATCACAGGGCGGGGTGGAGAAAGGGAAAGCTATCTACCATATATTTCAGAGAGTTTGTCCTGTTTGTGTGTCTGTCCAGCAGCCAGGCGACATATACTTCTCCCCCAACTGTGCCCACTGCAACTGAAGCAGTCATGAACAGGCACTTCTCAACTGTCCCCAGGCTGCTGTTGTGAAAGAGGGCTGGAGCTGTCCTCTCTCCCCTAGACAGCCTGCATACTGAACCCCTCATTTCCAGCTCCACCCCAGAACAATTATGTAAATGAAGAAAAACAAAAGTTGTTAGTAGTAAGGACCCGAGCAACACCAGTAAATCTTCTAGTATAGATAATAGAAAATATTCTTGTTCAATGACATGAAGAAACAATCAAAATAGAAAAGTGGGACCATATTTAATCTTGATATCACTCAGCATTGGGGCAATAGGAGTTGGAGAGATGGAATACATTAGGGATGTTAAAACAATTAACTGTTAAGCATACACCAGCTCCAGCCAGTGACCTCCAGCAGCAGCCAGCCATGACAGACTGGGGCAAACCCTGCTGTGGAGGGGCTGCTGGGAGCGAACACAAAACCCAGTGGCCATGGTGGGACCAGAAATGGGACCCTGAGACTGCGGCAGGGGCCAGTTAACAGGCCGGGCAGCAAGCCCAGAATTAAAATGGTTAAACAAATAGCCATTTTAACATCCCCACAAGGAATTTAAATTATCTATTTTCTTTAAATTAAGATCTAAAGTTGTATCCTCCCACTCTTCACATCTCTGTCCCTCCAAGACTCCACAATTCAAGGTTCTAAGAACTCTATATATTCCATATTTAATGTTTAATTTAGAAAATCATCCCCATCATGCCTCTTCCATGTAATCATAGTTACAAACCACAGGTTGCTGCTCTCTTGACCCCCAACAATAACCCAGGAGATGTTACCAATTCGTACAGATTGTGAAGTTTCAAACTGATAAGAAATTTACTATTAAAGAAAAACTGGTCAACCTTAAAATCAGATTATCAGCATGCCCACATCGCAGTGACCTTCACCTCAATCCCTCCCCAGCTGCAAATAAAAAAATGTGTCCCTGACCTCCCATTAAGCTTCCCGGACAGAGACCACATCTTTCCATTTGCCCCATGAAGTGCTAACATAAACCATACTTAGCCTCTTACCATTGCTCAGCCTTATCTCTCCAGGTCAGTGCAGCCCTCATCCCTTCCTCTCCCCCAGCACCCCCTCCCTCACCACCTGCCCCCTCTCTGCTGCAAATAAAAAAATGTGTCCCTGACCTCCCATTAAGCTTCCCGGACAGAGACCACATCTTTCCATTTGCCCCATGAAGTGCTAACATAAACCATACTTAGCCTCTTACCATTGCTCAGCCTTATCTCTCCAGGTCAGTGCAGCCCTCATCCCTTCCTCTCCCCCAGCACCCCCTCCCTCACCACCTGCCCCCTCTCTCTCTCCCAGTACCCCCTACTCCAGCACCTGCCCTCCCCCTCACTCCCCCAGGACCCTCTCCTTTACCATCTGTCCCCCTCTGTCCCCCAGCACCC